AGGATCCAGACGTGCCAACAGCTCTGAGACCTTTCTCAAAGCATCTTCTTATATACTGGAAGCAGACCACATCCCTAAGGCAGCTACTCAGGTGCTCCCAGTAGATTCCACCATGGAGCTGATTACCAGTCTCATCATGGGGAATAACTACACCCAGCTGCCCAGCCACTCAACCAGGCCCAGCCAAGTTCACACACAACTAGCACAGGATCTTGGAAATTGAATGTCTAACTCCCCTGAGAACAATGGTGCTGCTGGGCCAGGGACCCCACTTTAAGAACCACTGGCTCATCTTGTCTAATGACCCATTTGGGATCTCTGAAGAACACCTCTGACCTATACTTGCGTCTATCCAGTTGCCATGGCTTCAATTCCAACTCATGGCGACCCCATGTGTATCAGAGTAGAACTGTGTTCCACAGGGTTTTCAGCCACTGATTCTTCCCATGTGCCTCTGGGTGAAAATGAACCTCCCAACCTTTAAGTTATCAGTGAGTGCAGTAGGCACTTACATTGCCTAGGGACTCCTTGGCCCTTTGGAGTTCAGATCCACCACCCTCTGCACCTCCTGCTCCTGCCGAGTTAACACCTATTCCTTGTGGAGCACCATGTCTGGTCAACACAATCCAGACACAGCGAGTCCTTCCACTCTCCTCAGCTGCCGGGCCCAACGATGTCACTGCAGACCCCACACTTGCTCTCCTAAATGCTCCCATCTTACCTTTTAGTGACTCCCTTACTAGCTGGGATCCAGTGAGGTTCTCCCAGTAGGAGACACTGAGATAACGGGCCGGGAACCAGAAGTTATTTGACTTTTGGCAGCAGTGGCAGCCACGAGCGGGCATCTGAGTTCTTGTTAGTGGCAGTCCAGTGGGTTCCTCATGGAGACCTTGTGATAAGGGAACAAAACCTTCTGAAGCCCTTGACTGGTTGGTACATCTGGATCCACTGTTACGGGTATTGTGTCAATCACCTCACTGAGGGATTCCCTCATTTTTGCTGACCTTCTACCAAACATGATGTCCTTTCTCAGCAACTGGTCTTTCCTGATGACCTGCTGAAAGCAAGTGACTGGCTAATACATTTCAGCACACAAGTGCCTCCAGCCTCACGTGTAGACACAGCTCCTGCCTTTAATGATCTTTTAACAAAAAAACAAACCCAAACTCACTGCCATCGAGTCGATTCCAACCCATAGCGATCCCCATTGGGTTTCCAAGGCTATAAATCGTTATGGAAGTATATCACGCCATCTTCCTTCTGCAGAGTGGCTGGTGGGTTTGAACTGCTGACCTTCTGGTTAGCAGCCAAATGCCTTCTCCACTATGCCACCAGTAACTGCTATTCATCAAGTTTTCCAGTAATGGATCAGTGTTTCACTGCTATTCATTCATATTTTCACTGGCCAGTTCTTTGAGAGGTGGATGGCCCCTTCCTTCTCCTGAGTCTGTCTTAGTCTGGAAGCTCTGCTGAAACCTGTCCACCACGGGTGACCCTGCTGGTGTTTGAAATACCAGTGGCATAGCCTCCAGCCTCACAGCACCACACAAGCCACCACAGTAGGACAAACTGACAGATGAGTGGCGGTCACGGAAAAAGAAGGCCCTCAACGAGATGGATGAACACTGTGGCTGGCTGGCTGGCGCAGGACCGGGCAGTGTTTCTTTCTGTCGTACATGGGGTGACTATGAGTCGGGAGCTGAGTCGACGGCACCTAACAACAGGTAAGTGTGGGTCCTTCAGTCTTCCACTGGCTTTTGTGACCGAGCCCCTGTATTAAATCCTCATGCTTCAAACAACTGCAGGGTATGTTTTCCTGGCTGGCCACTGACAACGGAACAGCAGCAGCAGCAGGCAGGCAGTGCCGATGGGACGGACTGGGGCCTCAGTGCACCCCACACCACCCAAACGTTTTATGGGCTTCAGGAAATTTTCTTTTAAATTATCAAGTTACTTCTTTTGTGTTGTCATTGTCCTGTACCATCGGGCTGATTCCGACTCCTGGCGACCCCGTGGGTCACAGAGCAGAACTGCTCTGTGGACTTCTGCTGGCTGCCATCTTTCCTGAAGATCACCAGGCCTGCCTCCTCCGCGGGGCCACTGGGTGGGTTTGAGCCATCCTTTCAGTGACCAGCCAAGTGCGAACCTCAAAAACCATTCTTCTGAACTGCACAGAGTATGACCAGAGCAGACAGATCTGCCTCCACATCTCAGGGTGGGTTGGACTAGTGACATCCTGTCCCTGCACCCAGAGAACGGGCAGCTCCTGGAGCTGCACTGAGCGCCCAGAGTTTACTCGGCCCTGGGGCTGCAGGTGAGACGGGTCTGTGATACCGCTCTCTGCTGCTCTGATCTGGTTTTGGAATCATGGCTCCACCAGTCTCATAAAATGACTTAAGACAGCTATCTCTCCTTTTCTGTTTTCTGGAACAACTTGTACAAGGTAGGACTTACCTGATCCTTCAGTTTGCTAGAACTCATCTGAAAGAGCTTTCAAGCCTGAGGCTTTTGTAGGCGTGGGTGGGAGGATCACTGTGGTCTTTCCTTGTTTTCTATTCTTCTTAAGCCAATTTCGGCACATTTCCTTCTAGAGATGTAGGCTTCACATTCTTTCAATTGTTCACACTGTTCTGATCTGTGATTACCTAGTTCTTTCCCGAGATTTTGTCTTCCTGCCACAGGCCCTGTCACAGTGCTCCGACTCTCAGGGATGTCGGGATGTGGGATGTGCTGAGAGGTGGGAGCTTCACAGCAGTGGAGGGCAACAGGAGGCAGGGGGGGTTGGGGGCAAACCCAGCCCTGCCCAGTGCTTTCCACCAACCACCAGCCTGAGGTCCCTGGTGCCAACCACCCCTAGAAGGCGCTGGAGGGAGGGTCACCCCCTCTCCCCGCTCCCCGGGCTTGTGGGGCTGCTGCCTCAGACCCTTCAGGGTCCAGGAGAGGATGCCTGGAGTAAAAGCCCAGCACTGGCGGTGGGGAGCGCCTGTAAATACAGAAGCTGTGCTGTCCCCTGATACCAGCTGAGTCCCATCATGGGCTCCCAGGTCTGCCTGTACCGCACTGGCCTGCAGGAAAGGGCTCAGCTGATGAGGTTCCACTGAAGCTGCAGCTGGTCAAAGTCTTAAGCAATGGCCCAAAAGTCTGCCACAGACCAATTTGCCAAATGATAAATTCACTAATGACAGCTCGCCAAGGATCAGTTCCTAGCCACTGAGCATGCTCAAAACAAACCAGCTTCAACTTTCCAGGTAACTGGAGATTTGGTGAACCGTTAATTAGTGCGCACACGGACTCTACGGCAAACTAGCTGTTTTCAGGGATGGAACGTGTGTGTGTGTGTATTCTGCTCGCTCCCATCTGGAGAGGGACATGGGGCCTTACTGGCTGCTCTGGCCTGAACTCACACACTATGCGACCGTGGCCCTAAGTGCCTGAGATCCTGGGGTGAGCCAGGCCTCGCTCTCCCAGCCTGCCAGGTGCCATCGGTTGACTCCAGCTCGCGGCGGTCGCTGTGTGTCCAAGGGAAGACACACTATGGGTTCCCACGACTGACTTCTCGGAAGGTCTTTCCTCCGAGCACCTCTGGATGGACGTGAACCGCCCACCTTTCGGTCAGCAGCCGAGCACACTGAACCTGCGCAACACCCAGGGCCTCCCGAATTCCCATTCCAAGACAGCTGGGAGCAGGCCTCCACACACCACACACACAAAAACAAGAAAATGTTTTAATTGTAAAACTAACTTATTGGGGGGAGGGCGGAGCTGCGCCGAGGGGCCAGGAACCTGATTCTTCAGACAGTGGTCTGTCCCCGGTGCCACCCCGCAGGACAGGGACCATCTGTCCCCAACTAGGGGCAGGGGCTAGTGTTATAAAATGGCAATATAAATAGATTCCAGAAAAGAGGCGGCCATCAGGCGCAGTAGTCATCTTCTGCAGAGGTGAGGGCAGGAGGGGCAGCCTGACCCGTGGCCCCCACTTGTCCCGAGGGTGTGAAGGGCTAAGGGAAAAGGCCACGCTTCAGACATTCATGATCCACCCCCGCATGGCTCCAGGGGGCAGTCCGTTAGGCAAGGTCTGTGATGTGTCCTTGCCAGGCCACCCACACACACGCACGCGCGCGCGCACACACACACACACACACATACACACACCCATTTTGTAGTGTTCTCTCCACCCCCCGCAACCCTGCTGCAGATTTCCAGTGATGGGAGGATATCCGTCCATCCAGGAGACGGGAACACAGGTAAGGACCCACCCCAGACTGAGGGAGGGGTTCCGGGAGCCTCACTTGCTCCCCACAAGTCCCTGTGTTTTCTTTAAAAGCCGAAACCGGGGTTCAGTAGTAGGGTCCTGCACCCTGCGAGGAAGATGATGCCACATGGAGTGTTTCCCAGGCTGGAAGGAGTGGGGGCCAGCCCCCTACTAGCCTCCAGTAGGGCAGGGTGGCCCAATGGCCTCTTTGGTTCAGGGCAGGGTGCTGGGCCTCATGTGGTACGGTTCTGGCGCATGAGGGGCACAATGCTGGCGGGCGGCCCGGCCTTGGCCAGGAACGGGTGCTTCAGCAGCTCAGCCGCTGTGGCCCGCTGCGCAGGGTCACGCACCAGCAGCCGGTCCAGAAAGCCCTTCAGGGATGGGGACACCTGTGGGCAGGCAGGGGAGAGGTCAGGGGAGTGGGTCCCTGCCCTGGGTCTGAGTGCCAGAGCCCCCTTACTCCGTTTCCTCTTTTGTCAAATGGGCTGACAGCATCTACTGTCCAGGGAGTGGGCAGAGGTCAGGGGTGTCTCAAACTTGGCTGGGGGATAAAGACAGAGCTGGAAGGCCCTACCAGGGGCTCATCCCACCCCACTCTGGTGGTTTGGCAACAAGCTGGCAGAAGCTGGGCCTTGGAGCATCCCTTTGTCACCAGGCGATTCTTCCCTTGTCCCCTGGAGCCGGCTATACCCTGTGTGTCAGCCAGGCCGGCCCAAGCACAAGCTCTGTGAGAGGCAAGGGTCGGGAAGCCCTGTGTTCTGCGTGCTCTCGGTTCCTCAGTCCCTAAGGAGCCTGTTTGCATGGACACACATGGGCAGAGGGGACAAGGCAGCACCCAGTAAGTACACCCTCTCTGGCTGGCAGTGCCTGCTGCCCACACCCAGTGCCCTGCTTGGAGCACAGGCTGGGGTGTTAGCTCCTGCCTGCTGTGTGCCATCTGCCCTGCCACCTGCCTGCAGGGACCAACCTTGTGCAGGTTCTTCAGCCGGGGCGGCAGATTGTCCCGAATCATCTTCATGGCTTTGAGGGGTGGCTCATTGAAGTAGGGGGGCTCCCCGTCCACCATTTCGATCACCATCACACCCAGAGACCAGATGTCCACCTGCCGTGGGGGTGGGGGGAGTCAACGACAAGAGGACTGAGCTGCAAAAGGATGGCCAGTCCTTGGAGGGCAGGGAGTAGCCCTGGGGAGGGGTGGTCCCCAATTCTGCTTCTGTATCTTCATGGGACCCTCTTTCTCTCAGGCCTCGCCTGCCAGACCCTCCCCCCACCAGCCCAGGAAGCCATCAGAAGGGCCCTTGGTGGCTCTACCTCCTGGCACCCAGCCCTTTCTTGTGCTAACCACCAGCAATTTTCCCAGGTGAAACCTGCCTCTCACCCTCCTTCTGTGGTAGTGCCCAGGGACCCAGGGATAGGTCGTGACCCAGGCTGGTTATCAGCCGTCAAGACACTGATTCAGCAGGACACATGATCCAAGCTGAGCCAATCAAAGTCAACCCTGGGACTTTTCCCCAAAAATCCAGGAAACGGTAAGGCTGGGAGGCTGGGGAGACTTGTCTCATTATTGCCCAGGGTCATCTCTGCTCCCCCAGGGGAGCACCTGCCCAAGTGAAGATCACACTGAGAAAACCCAAGCCACAGAGGGAAAGAAGCCCTGCATGGCTGGGCCCAAAGCTGGCCCCTGTAATGTCACAGTGCCAAGCACAACAGGTTCCACACAGTAAGGTCCACACTCAGCTAATCCTTTTGAGCTGGGTTTCTGCCACACACAAGCAGTGCTGTCAGAAATGTCCTCTAGAGTCTTACACCAGAGTGCGACCACTACTCTAGTCCCCCATAATGTGCATCGCAGGGACGCCTTTTTCATGGCTGGGCACCTGGTCAAGTCTTGTTGGCTGACTGCCTGGAGGAGTCCTCCAGGCCACAGCCCACAGCTCAATGGCTCAAGGACAAGCAAGTAATGGCAGTGAGTGATGCAGGTCAGTGGAGGTCCACAGGGACGGGTGAGGGCTGTGGCCCCAAATGAGGGCCCTGTCCCCTGGACAGGGGAGCAACCCCTCAGTGCTGCCAACTGTTCTCATGTAGGAATCTGGGTTCCATGTGGCCACATCACCTGGTTTTCTGCCAGAGGATGGGAACTTGGATTTTTATGTGAAAGCTTTCTCTTTAAAATGCTTCCAAGAGCATCTTCAGGCCACACCAGTCAGGCGCCTGCCAATCTGTGGCCTGTGCGCCAGGCTGTCAGCTCAGCAGACCGTTCCCATTGCCAAGTGCTGGGCCTGGCTCAGAATGAGCGCTCAGTCCAGAATGAATGAATGACTCAGTGCGTGCACGCTTTCCTGTCTTTCGGTCTAAGCGTCTGTACCTTCTCTTCAAGAAGCTCTCCCCAGGGACCGCCCACAACCCTCTGCTGTGTCAGTTCCTGGACTGCCCCAGTGTAGGCTGTGCTGACTGTGGGCTGAGGCTGGACTCACCTCTGGCCCGTAGGGAAGGCGGGAGATGAGCTCCGGGGCCATCCAGTAGGGCGTGCCCACCAGCGACTTCCTCCGTGGTACCTCCTTGCTCACCTGGGCGCAGAACCCGAAGTCTGACAGCTTTACCTGGGGCAGGGTGACGGCAGCAGGGTCAGAGGGACTGGAGTAGGGACAGGCAAGCCAGAAGGGTCCACCTACGGAGTTCATGGCACAGACACGGTGCAGCCTGGAGCAGGGGGGCTGGACTCCACTGCCAGACTGCTGGGTTGCGCTGGCACCTACTGGCTCTGGGCCCTGAGGCATGTCACCTCCCCAGTATGTGACAGGGTCTGTGAGGGATGGGCGAGATCTGACACGGGACGTGGCGTGGGTGCTGGATCAACCAGAGCCAGCATCCCCCAGCCCTCTCCCTCGCAGGCCCTTGCCCTTCTCTTAAGTGCTTCACATGGCCAGCTCCTGGAGCCCCGCAGCAGCTGCACAAGGTGGGCACCACTAGCCCTGTTTCTCAAGGGGGTCAACAGTGGCCCAGAAAGGGAAGCCTTGCCCAAGGTCACCCACTGGTGAGAGGCAGGGCCGGGTATGACTGCAGGTGGGCTGGCTGCACAGTGCATTCTCATAAACCCCTGCTACAACATGACCACGACAGGATCACTGTCCATCCACCATCCCAAGGGCCAGCCTCATGCTCAACTACCACCACTTGGTTTCTTCTCTGACCCTCCCCACAGGGCTGGGAGGCAGGGTAGGAAGAGCACAGCCACTTTACTAGCGAAGGATGCTGAACTCAGGTGGGATGGGGGAGGGGGAGGGGAGTCCCCTGGCTTTGAGCCTGGGCCTTGCATTCTAGGGACTGAGAGCAGGGCAGGCCCATCCCAGACACTGACACCAGGAACTGGTCCCCGTGTAGACTGGATCTGAAGGGGAGCCGCCAGCCACACTGAGGCTTCTGAGGGAAGTGGCCCAAAGGCTGGGCCATGATCTGGCTCCAAAGCCCATGCCCTGGGCCTATTCCCTGGAGGAAGCAGATCTGACAGGGACAAAGCTCTACACTGGGGCCTGGAGGAACACAGCCCTGTGCTTGAGGGTCTGGGGGAACACGGCCTGATATGCACCTCTGCGGGACCCATAGGCCCCACTCAGCCCATAAGGCACTGTGTGGACCACCTCCCCCTAGAAAGCACACATACTATGTGTACAATCTCCAGAGAGAGGGTCACTGCCTCTGCCCCTGAGGACTGGTGGGGGGTCACCACCTCCACCCCTGAGGACTGGTGGGGGCATCACTCCGCTCCTGTGGACTGGTGGGGGGGTCACCACCTCCACCCCTGTGGACTGGTGGGGGGGTCACAGCCTCCACCCCTATTGACTGGTGGGGGGATCACTCTGCCCCTGTGGACTGGTGGGGAGCTGTGGTGGTGTAATGCCTAAGGCATTTGACTGCTAACCAGAAGGCTGCCGGTTCAAACCCACCAGCCACTCCTCGGAAGGAAGACTGGGTAATGTACTTCCATAGTGATACCACCTTAGAAATCCAAGGAGGGGTCGATATGAGTCGGATCCGACTTGATGGCAGTGAGTAAATTGGTGTGGGGTCACAGCCTCCACCGCTACCGCTGTGGACTGGTGGGGGCAATCACTCCATCCCTGTGGACTGGTGGGGGGTTACTCTGTCCCTATGGACTGGTGGGGGGTCACCACCTCCGACCCTGTTGACTGGTGAGGGGTCACTGCCTCCACCCCTGTGGATTAGTGAGGGGATCACTTCACCCCTGTGAACTGGGGGGGGGGGTCACTGCCTCCACCCCTGTGGACTGACGGGGGGATCACTCTGCCATTGTGGACTGGTGGAGGGTCACAGCATCCGCCCCTGTGGACCGGTGGGGGGATCACTCCACCCCTATGAACTGGGGGGGGGGGTCACCACCTCTACCCTGGAGATGGGGGGTGGTTTACTCCTAGGCACTGGTAGGGAACCACTTTCTGGGTGAATGTGAAGAAAGTCAAGGGCCCTTGCCCATCAAAACTTACATGCACCCTTGGAACAGAAATGCACATGTGGGCACTGTGAGGTTTATCCATGGGTCCCAGATTAGGAACTTCTGTCCAAAAGATGGGAAACAGGCCCAGCTTCACAGCCCCTGGCCCCGGGTGCTCGACTGGGAATGGTTCTCGGTGGAGGGAGAAGGCAGTGAGGGAGCTGTGGCTGTCTGCCCTAATCTGTCCTCCCCTCTGGCCACAGGGATGGGCTCCTCTCGTGGCCTCCTGTGCCGACGGAGCTCCTGCCAGCCTGGGTCCCCACAGACCTGGGTACCTGCCTCTAGACTGTTACACCAGGAACAAACAAGCTTTCTATCCCTTAAGCCACCACCTTTGGGGCTCAGAATGTGGAGAGACCTTGAGAAGCATGAGGCAGCCCCCCGCCGCCGCTCCTCACCCGGCCATCGTGGGTCAGCAGGATAGAGTCACTCTTGATATCCCGGTGGATGACGCCCTGGGCGTGGAGCACGGACAGGGCCTGCAGCACGGCCAGGCAGACGGCAGCAATCTGCTCCTCATTCATCCTGCGGGGGGCAGGGGTGAGCAACGGGGCAGGCAGGGCCCCTCTGGGGTCTGAGGGGGACAATGCCCACCCTGGGGAAGTTCATTTTACTCAGGCAGGGTCTAGCCGCCCGGCCAGTACCTGGTGTGGGTGACGATGTCAGTGAGGGCGCCCCCCTCCAGGAACTCCATCACCACCCAGAGCTCGTCTCCCACCAGGTAGCTGTTGTACATCTCCACCACGTTCTCGTGCTGGTAATCCCGCATGATCACCACCTGGGGGGGAGGCCGGTCAGTGCCACCCCACCCTGCCCACCCTGCCGGCCCCACTGCACGCCCAGTCCCACCGGTACTGCCCTCTCACACTGGCAGATCCGCCCAGACCTCAAAGCTAGCTTGAGGCCGGGCCCTCAGGTGGCATTCTGGAATGGCTCCCCATGCCTCCCCCATCTTTTGATGCCTGTCTCAGACCACTCCCGGGCTGGCAGCCCTGGTGACTGGCCTGGAGTTGGGACAGGGAGGTGGCAAGCGCAGGGGTGAGATAAGGACAAGGTATGATGGGGGGAGGGGCAAGAGGAGGGAGGAATTCCAGGCACAGAGATCAGCCGGGCAGAGGCCAGGGGAGAGGTGGGAACTGGATGCGATGCTCACAGGGAACCTCATGAAGGGGAAAGAGCTCAGGAAGCAGCCGAAGGAAGCCCTGTTAATCCTGGGCCAGGGAAGCGAGAGCCCGCCCCCAGCTGCAGAGCCCCTGGGGCTTCCACGCCACAGCATGCCCTCCAGGGAAGGGGCCCAGGATCAGCCTTGGTCCTAAGCTCCTGCAGCAGCCACAATGTGCCAGATGATGAAGGGCCTCAAAGGCCAGGCAGAGGGGCGGGACTGTCTCCGTTGGGGGTGGCAGGGGAGCCTTGCAAGGGGGGGTCAAGTGGGGGAGAGACAGGTCAGATCCAATCTAGAAAGTTCCCTTTGGCTGCTACATGGGAAATGTCGAGGGGATACCCAAGGGGGAGGTGGGGGCAGGGAGAGGGTGGGGCTGCATGACACGTGCACAGTCTGGTGCGGACAGGCTGGGGGCGGGGAGAAGGAAAGGAAGGAGCATCCAGGGTCCCGCCTGGGACAGCAGCTGGGGGCGTGAGAGGCTTCCCTGAGATGGGAACCTAGAGAAGGAGAGGTTTGGGGGAGATACTCGGACACCTGTTTGGGACTTGATGGGTTTGGGGGTTCTGGGGCTCAGAGAGACACCAGGGATGGGGACAGAGATGTGAATGTTGTCAGAGCAGAGGCAAGAACCGTATGCTGGGGACAGAGGTGGCACCTTAGGTGGCGGGAGGAGGGAAGAGAGGAGGTGGGGAATCCCAGACTCAGCCTTGAGGGCCTCAAAACCATCTGGGGTGGGACAAAGGGGTGAGAGAGAGGTGAGGCGCCGAGGAAGGCCGCCCGCCCACCTCGTTGAAGAGCAGCTCTCGCCTCTGCTGCTTGCGCAGGTCCATCTTCTTGACGGCCACCAGCTTGCCCGAGCTGCGCACAGTGGCGATGCACACGATGCCCGTGGAGCCCTCGCCGATCTTGATGAAGTTGTCCAAGTAGGAGCGAGGGTCACCTGGGTCCACCACCAGCTGCAGGGCAGCCCGGAACTGCTCGTGGGACACACGCTGGGGCTCCCGCTGGGGAGAGCGGGGGCCAGGAGGCCCAGGGGCGGTGGGGACAGTGGGGGCAGCAGGGACAGCTGGGGTGCGGGCCAGAGGGGCCAGCTGGGGCTCAGATGCATGGGGGCCCAGCACTCCAGGGCTGGGGGCACCGCGGACTTGGGTTGGGGGCCGGGAGGAGGAGGACTGAGGGGCAGCCAGGCCCCCCGCAGATGGCCCATTGGGGGCCCTGCCATGAGGCTCCCCCTGGAAGAGAAGAGAGAGAGAGGGACTGCTGTCAGTGGAGACCGGGCCAACTCTGCTCCCCGAGGAGGGGCCTGGCTGTGGGACAGACACATGGTGAGAGATGGATGGTGAATGGGGCATAGTCTGGAGCTGGTGGTGGGGAACAGTGGGGAGTCCTAGGGTGGGGGGATCAGTTACCTGGGCACCACGGGACGTGTGGTCTGTGTCGGCCCACGGGTACGTGTTAAAGGGCCGGCCAGCTGTCATTTTCGCCCGGCTGACATCAGGCCCAGAGAGGGGGCGTTTGTCCCGAGAGGGCTCCTGGGGACCCCCTGGGCCCTCCCTGGAAGACTTGGGCCTCTTCTCTGGCCCCACCCGCCGCCTGTCGCCACTGCTGCCACCCGCCTCGCTGTGACTGGTGAGCCGGCCTCGGCTGCCTGCCTTCTCCGGGCCCCCTCTGGCCATGGCAGCCTGTTCCTCTGGTGTCCCGTTTTCCTGGCGGGTACGGGCAAGGGGTGGCGGGCTGTCTCTCCGTAGGGAGTTGGAGCGTGTCACCGACATGTTCTCAAACTCGTCGAGCAGCAGCGTGAGGGCCCCATCCTTGGCGCCTTTGCTGCCCCGCACGATGGTCTGGGGTCCAGGGGCAGTAGTGGGTGGGGGAAGGAAGAGGTGGGGCACACAGGACGTGCATCCAACACACCGGGACAGGACAATACAACACACACAGAGACAAGACAGAGACGAAATGAAGAGATGCCATGGGTGATAATGGGAGTGGGCAGGTGGGGGCAGGACCGGGGAGGCCTCTGCAGCCCCTCCCCACACTGAGAAACCAGTCGCAGCAGGGGGAGCTGATGAAATCCCCTGGGCAGGACTGGCCCCCGTGGCTGGGTGGTCCCCTGAGAAAAACCCATCCTGTCCTCTGCTCCCCAGGCCACAGGCAGGTCCTGCCCTGTAGGCTGGAGGAGGGAGGGCAAAAGCCAGACCAGCACATAATCAGCTCTGGAAAGATGCAAATTACAGGGTGCTAGGGCCAGGCCTGGGCCAGGCACTTCCTTTCCTACAGGGCTGCCGGGTCATTAACCCCAAACCACTGCTCTCTTCTCCTCAGGAGGTTGGGGTGGAGATACAGGAAGAGTCAGAAAGGCCCAGAGCCAAAGGCTGGGGGGAGAGAGGGCCCTGGAGTGAGCGATGGCTGATGCCAACGTCCATGGGGGCCAGACAGAGGAGGACGAGCGGGCAGAGCCCAGCCTCCACGGCCACTACCCCGAACCAGGCCATGGCCACCTCTCTCAAGTACCAAGTCATAGTCTCCAGGGCTCTCCCCTACCCCAGCAGCCCTCAACCACCTACTGGCTCCCTCAGCTCCAGGCACATGAGCCTCCTCAGGCATGGCCCTACCTCAGGGCCTTTGCACTGGCTGTTCCCTCTGTGTGGACCACTCCTGCCCATACTCTGCCAGGTCTGCTGAACACCTGTAGTAGAACCCCCCTACCTACTGCCACTTGCTTTCTCTCCAGAGCACTGGAGCCAGTGGCCATGGAGCATCTGTCATTGCCTGGCTCTCCCTAGTGCCACACTCAAAGGGGCAGGGGCTATTTTTCCCTCTCCGGGTTCTAGTCCCGCTATACCTATCAGCACTTAAAACAGCACCTGGTATACAGAAGGTTCAGTGAATACTTGCTAAAAAGTGAGAGAGAGGTGGGCAGGCACAGGCTCTGGTGAGTAGAGAATACAGTACCCCTGCTGAAAGGGGGCCCTGCCCACTAGCACCACTGCTGGCACACAGGGACTGGGGAGAAGGCTGCCTGGAATGTGCAAAAAATGTGGATCCCACCAATGCCCCCTGCAGCTACACTGGCCCCGTGTGGCTGTACCTGCCTCCTACTCCTGCCGGCCCTTGGTGCCGGGACAGGAAGTCTGGACTTACAGGGCGCTCAGAGAAGGGTCGTGTGTAAGGCAGGCCCGTGATCAGACTGGGTTGAGAGGGTCTGAGAGGACTGGGGAGGTTCCAGACCTGGGGCAGCAACTGCAAGTGCCCACGGGGCTCCCAGGACAGTGCCAGCCCATGTAGTACCTTCGGGTATATCAACACAAGGTGTCCCTTCCTCATGGCGAGCGCAGCCCCAGGCAGCCAAGGAGGGGTGTTTAGGAGCCTGAAGCTGGGCACACAAGCAGCCAGCCCAGGCCAAGGGGGAACTGCAGCGGGTGGGTGGGGCCCACACACCCCGAAGAGCAGACCTCTTCCACCCTAGAGACAGCTGCCACTCACCGGCAGCCGATTTGTCAAGAGAAGCGAGAAACTGAGATTTGGACATGAGGCCTCTTGCCTTTCAAGCAGTGGCCAAAATTCAAAGTGTCCCAAGCACTCTGCAGACAGGGACCCTGGTGCGAGAGCTTCTGAACCTATGCCCCCTCCCTGCCACCAGGCAGCCACCAGGAGAGATGAGTCAGCCTTGGGCCCACCCCCAGGCTCGGCCTACTGATGGTCACATCACCTCCACCCACTGAGGGCAAACTTGGCCACAGGCCTCCTAGACCTTCCTGGCTCCGACTGCCCTTACAGTAAAGCCACGCTCCCAGGCTGGCTTTATGAGGCCTGGCATGGGCTCACCAGCAGCATGCTCACCTCATCTCAGGGCACACCTGGGTACCTGGGCCACAACCTTCACATTTTCACATGGAGGCAGGACAGGGGTGAAGAGCAGGGATGGTCTTGGAAAGAGACTTTGGTTCGTATCCCATCTCTGCTATCTTGCTTAAGGATGGTAAGGAAAAATACAAAATCCCAAAAAGATCCCAAAGCCAGGGCTTTACATAGGTCATTTCCTCCACTGAAACCTGCCACCTGCTCCCTGCCACCTGATGCATTTGCTACTCCTCAAGGGCCCTGGGGCTCAGCTCAGGTGTCCCCTCCTCCAAGTAGCTCTCCTGGATCCTGGGATTGCTTCAAGCTCCTCTGGGCCCCCCATCCCAGCTGGGACCTCTCAGGGCTCCTGAGGTCTGGGGATGTCCTCTCTGGACTGGGAGCTCGGCAGAGGCTAGAAAGGTGTGAGGCCTTTGCTCCAACCCAAGGATGGGTCTGGAGTGGCCTTGGGGACAGGAGGAGTCCAGAGCTCAGCATGTGAGCAGCAGGGTGTAGGGAGGGGTTTAAGAGGCTGGTGCTGGGAGACTGTCAGAAGGGCCAGGAGAGGCTTCAGGGGGTGGGTAAGTATGGGGTTCTCAGAATTAGAGGCCAGTGTGGCGTAGTGCCTAAGGCATTTGATTGCTAACTGGAAGGCTGGCGGTTCAAATCCACCAGCCGCTCCTCAGAAGGAAGACTGGGCAATCTACTTCCATACAGATACCGCCTCAGAAACCCAAGGAGTGGTCACTATGAATTGGAACTGACTTGATGGCAGTGAGTTTGTTTTTTTTGTTGTTGTTGGCATCTAGGTGAGGGGCCAGTGGATGGGTCAGAGAACTAGGGGATGGTGTGGTCACTTTTTCAAGGTCAGTGCTGGTTTGGAGGAGCCCAGCAAGGAGGGAGGGTTGGCTGTAGGGTTAAGCGTGAAGGGTTGGGGTCACCCCGTGGGGGTCAGCGTCAGGTCAGGGAAGCAGAGGGAGATGCCGGCATACCTTGGGGGCCCCAGGCTGGATGGAGGTGATGCAGGCAGGGTCGACGAGAGGCTTGGGCCGGCGCGCCGACTCCTCGATCAGGCTCTGCCACTGGCGGGGCAGCCCTGTGAACTTCTGCTCGTGCTGGTCGAAGCCCGTGTGCACACGGTGCTCAAAGTTGGATGGCGCGGAGATCTCCACTCGCTTCTTCTTCTTCCCAAACATGGCGCTGGGGACTTGGGCTCCAACCAGGGGCCTGCACACGGGAGTCACCCCACCAAGGTCAGTGGAGACAGCCAGAGCCCACCACCTCTCCTCCACTCTGTTCCGCTCTCGTCCCCCTCCTGAACCATCTTAGCTGCTTCCTCACTGCCTCTCGGCTCCTGACTCTGGGTCCCCTGGTGAACCCCGGGCTCCAGTCACACCACTCCGTTGCTCAGAACCCTCCATGATGCCATCTCACTCAGGGAAAAAAGAGTCTTCCCATCACCTCTCTGTCCTCATCTCCCCTTTGCTCCCTTGGCCCCAGCCACATTCGCCATCACCCCTCAGGGCCTTTGCACTGGCTGTTCCCTCAGCCTGGACACACTTCCCCCAGATCCCCACATGGCTCCTTTCTCCCTCCAGTCCTTCACCTCCTTTCCTGGCCACCCCACAAGTAAGAGAGCCCCACGCCCTGCCATCCCTCTAGCATCGCCTTCATAGCATTTTTTTTTTTTTTTTTTTAAATAAAATTGCTACAGAGTCGATTCCAACTCCTAGTGACCCCATGTGTGTCAGAGAACTGTGTTCCAAGGGGTTTTCAGTGGCTGATTTTTTATTTTTTAACTTTTATTGTGATTTGGGTGGAAGTTTACAGAGCAAATTCGTTTTCCATACTGCAGTTCATACACACTGTCTCATGACATTGACCACAATCCCCACAATGCAACAGCTCCCCTGCCACTTCCTCCCCATAGTTACCTCTTCCCTGTGTCCTTCCCTCTATGCACGCCTGCCCCTAAGCTGTCTCCCTGTGCAGGCACTGCCTTCTACTCCCCCATGATTGATCTCTCTGAGGAGTGCGTCCACCTGATGGAAATGTTCAGCCCATATGTCAATAGCTGAAGTAGATCACTAGGCTTTTCTTCTACGTGCCTCTGGATGGACTCAAACCTCCAACCTTCCAGTTAGCAGCAGAGTGCTTAACTGTTTGTATCACCCAGGGACCCCTGTACTGTGTTTGCCTCCCAGGTGTTCATTCCTATGTGTGTTTACTGGAACGACAGCTCCATGGGCCTGGTTTCCCCTGAAGCTCCACCCTGGTCCCAGCACAGCACCAGGCACCCTGGCTGTGCTCAGTGAAGGCTGCCTGACTCACCGGCCGGACCAACCTCCCTCAGTCCTGACTGTGCTAGGAACACCACATACCTTTGCTCACTCATTCAACAAACAGTTTCTGAGTGTCTATAGTTTGCACGACCCTGAGACACCCTCATTACAATGCTCCCACTTTACAGATGGGGACATCAAGGCCACGTGGACAATGACAGACCAAACAGACCCAGACTGCAGGACCGTGCTCCTCAGTCAGGTACTCAGAACAGTGTCAGGCACAGAGTAAATGCTCGACAGAAGCCAGTTTAAAAAGCAAAGGTGATCACAGAGAGACAAATACTGTATGAGTTCACTACTGTCAAAAGTCAAGGCAAGGTTTACACACTGAAGGAAACTTTCTTTGTTGGTTACCAGGGATGGGAAGGAAAGTGAGGAAAAATTCCTAGATAGGTGGTGGTGGGCAGAATGTGTGTATACACACACACACACACACACACACAGAAACCAAAGATTATCAGTCACAACCAGGAGTATGAGTGGGAAAGGGGAAGCTTTTGTTTGGGGAGCACTGACTTTATGCTAATGGTGGTGGAGTATTTTGGAAAAGGATAGCAACAATGGTGGCACAAATAAACAAATAAAATAAAAAGCGAAGGTGCCAAAGGGGAGACATATACCGATGGGAGTGGCACATGGCGCGAATCCCTCTTTGCCATTTATTGCATGTGACTCGACCAAGTGACTTCACGGCCCTGGGCTTCGATATTCCCATCTGTCAAATGGGGATCAGCCTTGTCCATACCTCACAGGGCTGCTGGGCGGGGTAACAGGAGCAAAGATCTTGCTACGCGGCCGGGCACAGAGTGAGTGCCATGTCAGCGTTTGCTACTGAGACTACGCTTGTTTTCTCTGGCGGTGTCTGTGGTAGGAGGGCCCTAAGTGGCCCACATGTGGGCCTTGTGCTCACTCACACAAACCTGGTTTGATGCTGGATCTGCTAAAAGTGCCCTTGGGCAGGCAACAACTCCTCTCTGGGCTTCCGGTTACTCATCTGTAAAATGGGAAGAAAACATCCATTCATTCACTCCTTCATTAGTTTAGTAATAACTCACCATTGGGTCTCCTTTGTGCCCAGCCCTGTGCCGGGTGGTGGTGAGGACACAGTAGTGACCAAGACAGCAGGTGCCCTCATGGGACTCTCTTGCTAGTAGACCTGTCACTAGAGGGAGACAGCCCCGAGTGGCAGAGCTGGGGAAACACAGAGAATACAGAAGCCCAGGGAACACAAGATCCAGCTTAGAGGGGGTGGTGTGCGGCTGGGGGTTAAAGGGAGGTTTCCTGGAACAGGGGTGATATGAAATGGGTCCCAAAAGAAGAGAAACATGCTGGGTGGGGGTTTCTGACTTGTTCATGGCTGGCTCCCCAGCGCCTGGTATGGCACTCAGCAGTCGGCACTGAGTGAGTTCACAAATGTGGGCCCAGTGGGCCGCTCCTGTGTGTCTGGGATGAGGCCCCGCCCCCTTTACCCTCTCTATCCTGTGGCCCCTCCAGCCCCTACTTCTCCTCTGGGCTCTTTTCCCTGTAGGAGCAGCTATGGGTGGAGAGGTGGTAGGACCATCCATGGGTAAGTCTGGCGGAACTGGTTTAGCAGCAGAGCCTAGTGGGAGGCGGGCAGGGACACAGCAGCCAACCTGTCTAGACTGGTCTGGGCCTCTGGGCCAGCAGATGACCAAAGCCAAGCCTGCCCAGGGAACCCCCAGCTGGCCCAGTGTCCTTGTCTGCCCTGGAACCCGGGCTATCCAGACCTGGGATAGGACAGACTCTGCCACGATTTTTTTTTCTTTTGCCCTCGGCCTCTTCTCTTGCCCAGGATCAAGCCAGGAGCCCCTCTGTGTCTGGCCTTAGCCCCAGTCTCCTGAACAGCGCCATCCCTCCTCCCTCGCAGACCTGCTCAATCCCCAGCTCGCCTCTCTCCCTGGGCTTCTCGGCCCTTAGTGTGCGTCTTTCTCTCTTTCTCATTCTACGCTTGTCCCTATACTCCCTGCCCATCTCCATCTCCCCATGCCCCCCTGCCCTGTCACCCACACAGGGGCACTATGCTCTCTCACCTCTTCACTATTTTCCCAGATGTCTCCCCAGTTTGCCCCCCCAGTCCTGCGGCCTCCCTGCCTCTTTGCTATCTGCGGCCCCCAGCGCCTGGAACAGAGCCTAGCATAGTCAGCTCCCACGGCCCTCTGCAGGAACCAGGTTATCTATGTGACCCCTCATTAAACCCTGAGATGGGAGCAGTCAGGATCCAGATGGGGGCAGGCAGGAGGCAGTCTGGGATTCCTGAAGCCAAACAAGCTAGTAATGGGAGTGGGTTGTCATTACCACTCTCTCACAGACCAGAGCCCCCTCCTACCATAAGTTCCCAAGCCCTCTCTGCTCACTGCAGCCAGCACCGCCCACTCAGCTATATGAGATCCCCACAGGGGAAGAGGGCGGATCCCTCCGGATATTTACCCGGGGGCACCGCTTCCCTCTGGGCACTGCATGGAGGGCAGGACAAACAGAGGAACTGACCCTGTTTATAATGATCGGGAGGGAGCCCCACCCTGAGCCCTTCCCCAGGCAGCTCCAAGCCCTGCTGGCTCCCCCACCAGGTCCCCAAGCTCTAGGCCTTATGGGGACACACCAGGCCTGGCAGGGAGGTGAGAAGCAGCTACAGAAAGGCTACAGAATGCACCAAGAGCAGGGACGTGGAAGAGGACGTGCTGGGGTTCCTAGGCAAGCTGGGAACTTGAGTCAGCCAGCCGGGTGCGCAAACCCTCTGCTGCGATGCCCTGTGGGACCTCACTTTCTGCGTGTGTGAAATGGGGGTGATCCAACCCACTCTGGAGAGCTGGCTGTGTGACTCTAGGCTGCTAACCCAGCCACTCTGTGCATCTGCAATGCCTGTCTTAGAAGGAGGCAATGGCGGTCCCTGCTTCCCAGAGTTTTTTCTGTAAGGAGTCAGAGAACAGAAAGCATGCCAGCCTGGCCCAGACACCCAGGCAAATAGCAGGACTGAATGTGCACATGGTAAGCGCTCAATCAATGTCACTCACCAAATGCTAACTGAGCACCTACTGTGCCTTGGCCCTGTTCTAAGCACTGAACTCAGACTTGCTCGTTGAATCTTGGGAGCTCTGGTAGCGTAGTGCCTAAGGCACTTGACTGCCAACCAGAAGGCTGGCAGTTCCACTCCTCGGAAGGAAGATGGGGCAATCTACTTCCGTAGTGATACTGCCTTGGAAACCCAAGGAGGGGTTGCTATCAGTCGGATCCGACTCGACGGCACATAACAACAACAGAACAACAATAATCCAAGAGGTAGAGGCCATTCTGAGGCCCAGGAGCCCCTGCAGGACCTGCTGTCCCCTCTGCCCTCCTCCCCTCCCACAGGCCCCCTCGCTCACCCTGCCCCAGCTACCTGCGCCTCCCAGCTGTCCTTCAAACCCTGGCCATGAGCTCAACGCAGGGCCTTTGCTCTGGCCTCTGGCCCCACCTGGCCCACTCTTCTCCCAGAGCTGTACTTGGGTCTCTTCCTCCCCACCCTCACTGGTTCCATACTCAAATGTCACCTTCTCAAAGGGGTCCATGCCCTGTCTCCTCTATGTCCCTTTCTCTGCTTTACTTTTCATTGCACTTTGTTGTTGCTGTCAGTTGCTGTGAGTTGACTCCAACTCATGGTGACCCCATGTGTGTTGGACTAGAACAGCACTTCTTAGGGTTTTCAAGGCTGTACCTTCCTAGATGGTGCTCAGGTGAGGGAGGGGGAGTCTGGCTTACCTTCCTAGCCCACAGCAGGCTCTCATCGCCCCCAAACACTCCCCATCACTCCTGCCTCCGAATCTTCGCTCAATTCTTGCAGTCCACCTGCACTGCCCCCCCCATCCAAATCTCCCTGCAGGCAGGTATCCTTGGGGACCCTTACCCTAGACCCTACTACACCTTTGAGACCAACACATCCCCTAGTCCAGCCCCTCTTTGGCAAACACTCTATCCACAAATGGCCCCATCACACTCACCCACCCACCCATCTATATGTACTGAGTGAGGGCTGACTCTGCCAGGCCTGGTGTCAAAGGCTACCACAGCGGACAGAACAGGCAGACACGAGGCTCCCGTTCTAGGGGCTAGGAGGGTCAGCTAAGGAGACAAATGGGAAGCACCTCTAGGCACTGGGGGAAAACAAAGCACGTCCTGGCTGACACAGCGATTTGGACTCCTGGCCTCCAGAACCATAAGAGAAAAAAGTCTCTATTATTGTAAGCCCCCTACTTTGTGGTACTTTGTCACAGCAGCTTAGGGACAATCTCCCTGCTCCAGGGACCTAGAGCAGTGCCTGGCACACAGTAGGTGCTCAGTACCCATTTTTAGGACAGATGAACAATGCCACGGCTGAAGTGCCTAGTCTGGACCTTGGGGGAGAGCAGGGAAGGATGGTGAGGGCAAAGGGCTACCAGAAGGCCTTGAGGCCTCTCCCAGACTGCCTGGAATTCTAACCTAGAGCTTGACAAGAAACTGGGGCACAAGTCTGCAGAGAAGACTACTCAGTGAAGAGAGACTACATAGTGAATAACCTGGGTGTGTTCACTGCCCCGTCGTCCCCAGCCTCAGCAGCCTTGGCAGCACCAGCACTGGAGGTCCACCCCAGCCATGTGGCAGAGGCTGGGAATCTGAGGAAGTGGTGGCATATTTTAGCTACAGGCAGGAGAAAAATCATACAGGGGGACAGGGTAAGGCACTGGCCCCCAAGGCAGCGGGGTGTCCACAGGAAATCCACCAATCTCAGCAATAGCTGAAATCCCAGGGGAAGGGCAGCAGGCCGGAGTCAGGCGTCTGTCCAGGGAAAGAGGAAGAGCCCTGCTGGGTGCCGCCATCCTCCCACTCGCAGGCCGTTGAGTGGGCTGTGCCCTTGGTTTGGGACCCAAAATGCCTCCCACCCCAACCTTCACCTCCTTATCCTTCCTTTTCCTTCAAACTGCCACGTTCTCGCCTTCTCAACGGCCTCCGTCCCAGCTATAATTTTACATTTCCAATTTGACATTACATGTGGTTCTTTGATTAATGCCTGTCTCCCCCCAGCAGACTGGCAGCCCCGCCAAGTGCAAAACCAGGTCCGCCCTGGTCACTGCTGTCTGCCCAGCAGCGGCCAGCACAGGCCTAGCCCAGTATAAAGGCTCCATAAGCCGTTGATGGTTAAGAGCAAACTGCTCAGCTCGACACTGGTCCCACCACACCCAAGCTGTGTACCCCAGCAGTCACTCAGCCACTCCAGCCTCAATGTCCTCATCTGCAGACTGGGGGCACAATAGTCCTTCCCTCCCGGTTATGTCTTGATGATCTCACGACATAACACACGTAAAGCATTCAAAACAGTATCTGGCACCAATCAGTCCTCACTACAGCCCAGCTACTGTGATGATTACTGCTACTGCTGTTGTCACTACTGATGAAGAAACTAATGAATCCGTGAATGAGACACTAAGAAAGAGGGCACTGGGCATCCCCTCTTGGCCAGGACAAACATGCCAGTCTTACTTTCTCCACTCCTACCTGGGAGGGGAGCATAATGGGCTTGGCCACGCTGTGTCCCCAGCCCAGGGCCAGGCATGCATGGTTCAGCGTGGCTGAACAAAGATTAGTGCTTATTTTGCTCAGGCCAGTGCCCAGGGTTCTAGAAGCTAGAGGGGGGCCCGAGGCTACCAGCTCCTGGACCCCCTCACCCCAAACTGGCCAGACACAAAGGACACTGCTGGCCACTTCACCTCCAGAGGTACCCAAGGCAAACCTGACATGTGAGTGAGTATGCAGGGACCAGAGATATCAGACTGGACTTCATTCATTCCTCCCCATGAGGCAGAGCAGGAAGGACGAGGTAACACACCCCTGAACTCACAGCCCTCACTCTCCCTGCTAGGCCATGCGACACACACTACCAGCCCCTCTTCCCCCACAGAGCAACATGCAAATGTCATACAACACAGCTACCAATGTACATAACAGCCACTTGGCACCTCACAC